TTTGACAAATTTTATATGTCATATTCAAGCTTTACCACCTCTTCTTGCATCTTACAAATAAAAATTATCATTATAGCATCTCATTGTTTCATAATTACGAAAAATAGCATTTTAGCTGTAATGAGAAATTGCAAGCCTGTGCAGTAGAATGTTTCAAATATCAAGAAATCCAGGGTTTTTCGCAAAATTACCAATGATTTTGAATAAAGTTGCCTACATTTAGGCGCAACTGTGCATTTAAGACATCTTTTTTGACGTTTCTGCTGGAAACACTTTTCGCACAAGGGTTTAAACATCTGGATCGGTTTTAGGGAACCCACTTTTAATAAGAACAATAACTGGAAATGCACTGTGAAGCCATTTGAGGGGTTGATCAATTTCACCCCAAATCGATATTTTCAAATTTAAGATTTCAAAAATTTACTAAAAATTAACAAACCATCCAATATTGTAACAAAATCATGCAGAGAGAAGGAGCATTCATAGCTACTGATTTAAATACCATTTTTTTTTTTCAATTTAGTTTATTATAGAAATTTATTTATTTACGTTAAAGTTTTCCAGCTAATTGAATCTGATGGAATCTTGAATGATAAATCTACATTTTATGGACATGTTTGTACATTCTCTATAGGGAAGACACTCCAACAGCTGAATTTCTGGCATAAATTTGCCCGGGAAATGGCTCTAATGTTGACCTATGGATCTAAGATTGGGCTAATCGCAAAAAAAACTGCTATTTATCAATTTTATCTAGATAAACGCGTTACAGGGACGGTATTAATGTATATGTTTGGTCGCTATTACAAATTAAGTCGATTGCTGAATTTACGTATGTGCCCAAATTAGGGGCATTTAGGCCGACATTACATTTATTTCCCCTATATCTAATATGTAAAAATTTATTTCTTATCGATGAAATTTATACCCGTAATTCAGCTGCAGAATAGTTTGAATACCTTAGCACATAAAAGTCCCGTGCTTTTTGTGTGTATTTTTTTTTTATTAAATAAATCAAGAACACTAAAAAAAGTTCGTTTAAATAACTAATTGGTTCCAAATGGGTATAACCAAAACAAACTTAATTTAAAATAAAAAATCCCAAAGCCTTTGAAAAAAAAATCATTTAGGGGAAATGACGGCTTCGGCATGACAGACTATTTTCGGCAACACAAATTGAAACACTATTTTCACTGGATTTTCTTACGAAAACACTTCGCTGAATGCATGCAAATGATTCTTTATGCTTTCAGCTTCAATTTGACTATATTTTTACCACTGAGAAAAAGCAATCTAGCAAGGTTTTCTTGAAATGCAACACACGTACTACAAATTGTAGCTGATTTCGAGTTGCCGATAATAGAACAGCAGATTTACATGCAGTTCAAATGGAACGGTTGCCGAAGAAAAACTGGTTGCCGACAATACTCGCTCTCACTAGAGGAGATTGGAGCTTTGTAAAAGCGTTTCAAAACAGTTTTTGACAATTCTTTCGACTGAAATTGTTAGAGCAGCTGGCAGCAAAAGATTGTAAACAAACCAATACTGCATATGTGTGCGTTTCTTAGAGAAAAAGGCTATAGAAAGAAGGTCGCTGCTTAGGTTGCCGAGAATACGTAAATTCCCCTATCTAGTTACAAAGAGTTCCTTTGGATAAGAATTAAAGTTAAATCTTGATTGACTCCGGGTTAGTTAGTGCAATAAATTGCACTGAATAAAAAAAATCTGATTAAATGCTTTATTTCTTTCTTTTCTTAAATATCAGTGTTGCCGCTGGGTGCACTGCTTCAGGTTCCGCGTTATCGCCCCAGCTGAACTCCGATTACGGCTGTCAATGGTCAGCTGAACGTATGACAGGTGACAGTAGGGAAAGAAGGGGACAAACTACTTCCGACGAGGAACAACAGAACGGATAGCGAAGCAACAAGCGAACATTTGTTATTCTAAAATTTATTAATACCTAAACGATTCAATTTGTTGCAAGTAGTGAAGTTTGCCTAATTAAAACACGTACAGAAACAGTAAGTTGTACACTTAAAACCTATTTACACATAATTGTAATACACTAAAATTTGTTGCAGTTCCTAAAAAAGTAACAAACAGAGATTTCAAGCATATCATTTGCACACGTAGAACACCGTAAGTGTAAGTAAACTAACCTTTTTTGTTAATCTATTCCTAATACACTGAATTACACTTGCAGTTTAAAGCTGCACTAAATCGAAAAGATTTGTTTATGTGCTGCTCAAAGCCCGGTGTCCAAAACGTATAATTTTTCATTCTGCCTGCCGAAGCAATCAGAATCATGACAAATTATAACCAGTTTTTTCAATATTTTTCGAAATTTTCAAATCTTAATCTTGAACATAATTAAGTGCTAAATGCATGAAATTTATTCTGTGTGCATTTTATCATGTTTCAAATTCAAACTCCTAGACGGATGCAAATTTTGTTCATTTAAATAAAAAATATAAATATTCATCCTCTAAATTGATAAACATTTCTCTTGTTTGCTGAGATTCAGCTTAGCATTATCCGAGACTCAGCAATCCAATGTCACTTTTGCTGAGATCTCAGCGAAACTTATTTGATTATTAAGTCAAAAATTTCTATTTTTGTTTCAACAGAAAATATGTTTGAATCGAAAATATTCGCATTGATTTTTACTAACACTATTTTAAGACTACCCGTGGTAATTCGTTGTGATACACGCTCAGAACAACAAACCTAAATAAAAGTAAAGTTTTCCAATAATCGCACAAACGCAAAAACTCATAATATGAGTGACTGCGTGTATCAAATATAAATTTTAGGTTTTTGTTAATTAATTTGGCTTATTGTCATGTTTTTTCTTTATAAGAGTGACTTTTGGTCTATAACAGTGACTGGTTTGTCACTTCTAGTTCAGGTTAAATTAACCTGTAATTCCTACTAAAAAAATATAAACCTACACCTAAATTCGGGTCAACAATTCTTAGAGTGTCCTGCATTTTTCTTCCTCCTTGTTTATATTAGGCAGAATTTAGTTCCAGCTGCTATGGTGCAGTGGTGACATCGAAGTCAATCAGGATCCGAAAACCCATGAAGTGTCCAAAAGTTGCAGTATCAACTTGCTCGACTACCATCAAGATGGATTCCTTCAACCGATCCGAATCAATGAATGATTGATCACTGGTTGGGAAAACCTTACCTGACCAATTTATTTGTGCACCAATCGATCAGATAGGAATATTCAACATGTCAATATATCGTTCCAAGATCAGCCTATTTTCGCCCCCGATACGAAGAAACCGATCATGTTTGGTCATTCCAGCTAGCGATCAATCGTTCATTAATACGGATCGGTTAAAGGAATTCATCTCGCACACTTTTATTTGCTTTATCGTACAAACTAAAATCATTTTTAAATATGTACGTTTACAATAAACTCGACGATGTTGTTGACAAAAAGGAAAAGCATGTTTAAAATAATCATATTTATTTATGTTTACAAAACTGTCAAACTCATGACTTCTTACATGGAATACGTTTGAAATCAACGTAGTTTATTTTTGTGGCCAGAACAAACTGAGGTTAACTTTAAATTTACCTTAAATATGTTTGTTTCGATGATATTTTTCTCTGCGTGTAGAATTTTTGATTCCTACATACCGTGCCGATTCAAATTTCGGACACTTAAACTCGAATTTCGGACACTTTTAAAAGTTGATTATCTCGGTCGAATATGATCCACATGTCTTGTAAATTTTAAATTTTTTTGACTAGTGCCCTCCACGATCATCTAACATTATTACTTTGTTTCTAACTGGATGTAATATTTAATTAAAAATGAAAGTGTCCGAAATTTGAATCGTCCGAAATTTGAATCGGAACGGTATGTCTGGTTCACCTTCATGATGATGAAATATTCAGAATTAAAAAAAATCTTGTTACAAAATTCGTGGAATTACCTTACTTTGAGCATTTTCTTAAGTTTGAGATGTTTAATTTTATGACATCCGGACTCCCCAAATCTAAGTCCCAATCATTGCTACGAAATAAATATGATCAAATTTATTGTTTAACCATTAAAATAAAAGTAAGCCACAATGTCATATTATTGGGACATAAAAAATGTATCCAAAAACAAGCATCTTTGCGATTTTTTTATTTAAAAAAATAACAAGAGGGGGGCTCCAGATAAATTTTCTAAGAACGCCAATGTCTAAATGGGCAACACCTTATTCCAAGCAGATTTGAAATCATTCATTATTCATTTTTAAATCAAATCATAATTTGAGGCAACCAAATTAAACAAATCTTGTGATTTCGGTAAAGTTGTTGTCTTTCTTGGTAGATGATTGTTTAAATGAAGAAAATGTTATCATTATTAAGATTTTTAAGAGTTCAAATATTGCCGTAAAATTTCAAATGTTTCACATTTCTCGTCCGCGAAATTTGGCTCTTTTGATGAACATTTCCATTGTCCCTAATCAAAACGAATAAAATGAACAATTGAATTTTAAATCTTATGGTGAAATAGAATATGCATCGATTGAATGGCCTATGAGCAACACACTGATTCATTTATATTTAGATGCTCGGAGACTGACATATACGAGCGTCAATTTTTATATAAAATTGAGTCATAATAGACGTGAAATTCAGCTCAATCTCCCGTTCTTTTCTTCGAGTAACGAACTTTTCAGCCTCACAGCACTTAATTTTACATGACATGTTTGTTTACGTCTCTTCCTTTATTTCACAGATGGATTCCATCCTGTGTAAAATGAGTTATTTCTAAGTGTGTATATTGATTTATATTTTGTTGAATAATCGCTTAAAGATAAATGTTGGTTGTACCCCCCTTAACATCTTCCCTTTAATGAATAATATTTTTAATTCAGATTTTTCGTTGTCAAAAGTGCCTGTTGATCGGAACCGCGCTCTACCGGGAAGGACGCGAAAGTATTTGTGGATTCCGGTGGCAATTGGCATTCCGTTGAATGGATGGCACTTACCTTGCAGTCATCGCAACGGTGGATAATCGAGTACTTCTGTCCGCAGTCGTACCGCACCAGCACCTCGGTGAACTCGCAGGTGAGCCTGGCGGCCAGCGCGTCTGTCTCCAGCAGGTCACTCAGCATCCTAACACATTCTGAACCACCGCGCAAAACTCTGGCGTACGCCTCGTTGTGCAGCGCGCTGCCAACAGTACGTTCACAACAATGTCTTAAACGTAACGTTTTCAACTTGGTCTCAATACTTTGTGACGATTTTTTACAAATTTGTGCTGGACTTAACTCTTCATTATCGCCCAAATAGTCAAGGCACTGTTGTTTATCATTTAACCGGTTCTCCATGTTATATTTAGTATTATCAGTATTGTTTGCCTTAGTATTACTATTTTTATTATTAGACTTAGCCGAGCATGGCGGTGGACACCGCGGTGGACCAGGACCTTCGTTTATCCAGGCCACAGGCAGTGTACCGGCTGAACATTGACCCTAGAACGAGAGATAAACAAATTCCAGACATTAGTGGGAAAGCATTCTTCGGGAAAAAAATATGTAAATGGCGAATAACAGGGCTGTTTTTCAGTGAACTTTTGACTGCATGCCATGGAGCTCCGGAAAGCTCTCCGAATTCCGATCCAAATCCATCCCTGTCCGAATCCAGTCAACAATGTAATTTTTCCGTGTGCTGCGGCGGTCGGTGGAAAACATTTCGAATTCAGAAGTTTACTGTGACACTCAGCGATAAGTAGGCACTCACACACACACACACACACACACACACACACACACACACACACACACACACACACACACACACACACACACACACACATACACACACACACACACACACACACACACACACACACACACACACACGCATACACACAGCTTGCGATGCCATTTGCCTGTGGCTGATGGAAACATGTGTCAGTAAACGAAAAGGGAAGAGCGATTTATGTGGGTTAGTTCAAAGCACATAATGACGTAATTGACTTGTTTGCCACCGCACCTCCGTCAGACCCCCCCCTCTCCCCATCAGTCACTCCTTAATCATTTCAGTTCTTTTCCCGGACTGTGCCATCGCACGGTTAGTCTTTTTCCACATCCCCACAGACGGGCTCATCCTCACTCGCGGAGGGTGTGGGCGTACCACCCCCACCCAAATGACGTCGTTTCACGATCGCTTTCCAACTCCGGCTCGAATCGGCCTAAACGACTGACGACGATGACGAAGACGACGATGGCTGCCTCCTACGCTTTTCCACCCAGCTGCTAAGCATTTGCCGAAAGCTTGATGCTGCAGCACTGTTTGATCTGGGCTTCATATTTCATGGATGTATATTTTTTCGCTCACTCCCGTTCGTTTCCCAGTACGGCCTGAAGGCATTTAAAATTCAAAATTAAAATATTCCCTAAGCGGCGCTGGCTGCCGGATTTGCGATGGATACGATTTCATTTCATGCAAGCCAGCAAAAGTATCCAAAGGGGATTCGAAAGCGTGTTTTTTTTTGTTGCGAAATGGAATGACTCCGAAAAGCCCAAATTGGTGGCTGGTGCTAATTCCACTGCCTGCTCCGGCTCACTAATCTGATTAGCCTAATTTTATTGTCGAATTAAGAGTGATGTCCGCCGAGAGGCAAAACAGCAATCGTAATAATTGATAGCGGCTGAGCGTGAGAGCCGGATTTATGCTGCCGTGTGGGGGTTTGAGGATTTGGCTACATTTTAACAAGTGGCTATTGAGTGATAAGACAGACGAAATCGTTTCGAATGGTGGGAATTTTGAAATTTAAAGTTTCCATTTATTGTGAACTAGGCACAGATTTCAATTTAGAAATTTAGGCTGATTAGGATATCATACAACATACATTCACGAACACCTTGATATTTGCCCAAGTGCAAGAGGGTTTCTAATGACTCAGCTCCAGAATAATTTTGAAATGTTGCAGTCTGAGAAATTAATGAAATCATTGCCTGAAAGTTCTGATTAATTCCCAAATCCACAAAAATTCTCATACTTTTCATAGTCGGGAAAGATTTATCAAGTTCGATAAGCCGAATTACCATAGATTGCTGCTACATGAAGAGCTAGAAATTGCAATCGAACATAGCATACAATTCATTCACCTTCCAGTTATTGGTCAACTGAAAATTAGCTGTTACAACGGCCATAAAAGTGACCCAGTAGCAATGAGAATTTAAACATGTTGTCGTTGACCAGTCCAAATGTGCCAAGAAAATTCAGGTCAGAAAACAATCATCTTTGGTGAACTTGCTATGGTATGAGGTTATTTGGTGCTGATTGAACGGTGGGTTGGATCGTTGAAAAAGTTTAAAATATCAAACAAAATCGATGTTTTAAATTCGTTTTTATTTTAGTTATTATTTAGCGTTGGACTCTGCTCCACAATACACTGCCAATCATCGACGAATGTCAATTGCCAATTAATGAATAATCACTGACGGCAATCAAGTGCCAGGAACTTTCACTCCATGAATACCTATCGAACTCATCAACACATGGGCCAGGATCAACGGCTTTACCTTCCTTACGAAGGAAGACATGACTAGAGATTTTTTCGCCTCAGAATAATCGCCACGACCTCGGTTGAGATTGAACCCAATGACACACTGGGAAGATATAGCAGTCACGCTTACCACCTAATCGCCCGATTTAAACAGGTCCGATATGTTATGAATCATCTTGCCCCTTAAACACCACATAGTAGGCATGGCCGTTTTGGTATGTGTTACGCATCTTCGATGTAAAACATGTTTCAAATGGACAAGAAAAATGATGAAGGTATACAAATCATTTTCAAGGATGCATTCAACAACTGGCTGTATTGGTGTTAGATTAGATTAATGCCCGATTTGTCAGCCCTTCCGGACATCAGACTTTTATTTTTCAAAAAATGTATATACCTGTAATTCCATTTTTTTCTTATTCATAGTCAAGATGGATGCTTATGGTGAATGGCTGTGGAAATTTTATTTCACCTCGAAAGTTCAATACCACAAATATCGAAATTTCAAGACCGCAATTACCACGCTCTCTCAAGACAGACAAAAATGAAACTAGAACTCAACGTTTGCTGTAGTGCAGCAAACAAATAGTTCCAATGTCATGAGCAATCACAACAGTGCTGAGATTCGTGCTCTAGAAAACATGATGTGATAGGGTCTATCAGCCATCATGATGGCCTTTTTTGGACACTTCAAGGAATCGCCTAATGATATACTGTGGTGCAATAAGACCTCTAAAGCTATGCTCAAGTGTTGTTAGCAATGTCCCCAGCTACATCCTCTCCTTCTCACGTCAAGTCCACGCCTTTATCAAAGTCAGTCACCCTTCCTGTTACGTCAAATCCTATAACGTCAGATAACTCTGGTTCGATGTGACAATCTACTGAGAAGTGGTGGTGTCCTTATTGCTATAAAAACTAGTCTACGATGTACTGCGGACTCATTGGACAGCTTTGGACAACTCGAACAAGTTTTTCAATCTTTGAGGCATATATATCGATCGATACGGACTACAAAATGGTGAGTTGACAACCTAGAAAGAGTGGAATACCTAGCTCTGGTGATCACAAGTTCCTACCTCACGTCTCCCCGAGTCATATGATAACAAAAGACTACCAGCTGAAACATGGACACAGCTGGGTGGTGTAGCCAGTTGCCAGTCCGGCAATAGCACAGTCAAGAGGTGCGACGCGAACACTGGCGTCTGTTATCCATGTTAGGATCGGCTGATCACCATCCTAGTGCCAGCGTGGGACTCTAAACAGAACTGTGTACGATGGTTCCCCGGCGAGACTAGGGGTTGGGGCAGGCCCAACAAGCTACCCTGGAAAAATATAAAGTGGCAAATACCGAAAACAGAAATACGGATCGGAACAAACACATACACAGACCTACGGGACCAAATAAGGACTACGATTGGAAACTCGGAACATGGAACTGCAAATCGCTCGGCTTCCCGGGCTGCGATAGGTTAATCTATGACGAATTTCAACAACGCAACTTCGAAGTCGTAGCACTGCAGGAACTTTGCTGGACGGGACAGAAGGTATGGAAAAGCGGGCATCGTGCGGCTATCCTCTACCAGAGCTGTATCACCACCAACGAGCTGGGAACCGGCTTTGTAGTGCTGGGTAAGATGCGCTAGCGCGTGAATTTTTTTTTAAGCACGTTTATTTGAAGCTTAGACCATTAACAAATTACACATTTTACACGAGTAAACAGTTTAAAACAAAATCGAATGCTTCTACACATAGTTGGTTATTGGCATCTAAAATGAAATTTACATAACTAATAAACAGCTTTAGAGCCTGATATCTTTCGATATCCATGGTGATGTCAAAAACAACAAAACATGATTAATTGGAAAACTTGTGCTCTAGATGCACATAGGACTATCGATTCGGTTCTGTCGATGTAGTAGCGCACCATGTGGAATCTTTCCATTTACTAACAGGATAGTATGTAGATTTCTCTTTTGACGAAAGACCTTTAATTCTTATGTTGCTCCACACTCTGGTCCATTCTGGCATTCTCTTCCATGATTTTTGGTTTCTTCAGCTTCTCACGATTGACATTATGAAGGAATGTTGCCTATGTTGCCCGGGAATATAGGGCAATATTTTGGCAAGGCTCTTCATGCAGTGGTAAAGAGCTGGAATGACAGCTAAATTTGGCGGGTTCTGTAAATGTTGGATAAACGAGCTTGCGAATGGCGTATGTACAATTTCTTTCAGGAATCTGTTGGTTAGAAGTGCTTTGCACTTATGCATAGGAAGATGTAGATTTAGTCCACCCATGTTCTTTGGCAACATCTGATAACATCGCACCAGTTGAAGTCAATTGTTTGCTTTTGGGAGTTGAAGAATGTAATCCCCAAAATTTTAATCGACTCTCGAACACTTGGCCAAACAGTATCGTCTCCTGTACGTTGGAACCCAATGTTGACCGCGAACGTTTTTTTGAAATTCAAAAGAGATCCCGAAACTCGACCAAAATCCAGTAAACCTTGCTTGATGATATGCAGCTTGCGGTCGTCAGTTATGATTATCGATATGTCATCTGCATTTTTCTAGGAGGGGGTGAAGATATAGGACGAATAGGTGCATGCTTAAGGGATCGCCCTGTCTAACAGAGCGTTGGATTGGGAATTTTGGTGTGAGATTTCCATTTATAAGTAAACTAGAACTAGAAGCGGACATAATCTTCCCTAAGCGATGCACAAAATTTTGGTTTAATTGGATATTCTGCATCACAGCCATTAAATAGTTTTTACTAACTCGATGGAAAGCGTGATTGAAGTCGAAGGCTTTGTAGTGCTGGGTAAGATGCGCTAACGCGTGAATGGTAGGCAGCCGATCAACGCGAGGATGTGCAAGTTGAGGATTAAGGGCCGTTTATTTCAACTACAGCAACATCAACGTGCACTGCCCACACGAAGGGAGAG